GGTTGAGAAGTTAGAGGGTTGACATGGTGTGGGGTTGTTAACCAACGTCATAAAACAATATGTGTACAACTGTTTCATGAGAAACTACTTGTTCTGTAAGCCTTCACCTGAAGTACAATAAATAAATAAATAAAAAATTTTTTAAAAAAACAATTCTCAACTCTTGTACAGTTAAGTGTGGTCATTTGACTAAGTTCTGGCCAAGTGTTGTGTGGGACTTCTAAGAAGTTTGGTTAAATAAGCTGACTCAGCTGGAACGTAAGCCTTCTTTTTGCCCTTCCCTCGTCTTTCTTTCCTGCAGCCTGGAATGTGCTGGAATGATCACTGACACTCTAGCAGCCAGTCTGAGGTGACCTAAGGGATGAAAGCCAAAGGCTGAGAATGGCGGAATGGAAAGGTAAAAGAATCAGGTCCTTGATGACTTGGTGGAACCATCACACATGCCCTGACCTATCCAAATCTGGACTTCTTTCATATAAGATAATAAATTCCTTTGTTTAAGCCACTTATATTTTGAGTTTTCTGTTACATGCATCCAAACATAATCCCACCTGATGCTGTTACCCCAAAACCTCAAAGACCAAAGCAGCTAAAAAGAGGCTCCCGCCTCAGGCACCCTGAGTATCTATTCTATGTTTCCTCCCAGCCTTCTTATAGCCCAAACAAGGGCAGAGGCCTGGATAAGGGACCTCTGGCATCATTAATGTTTACTGTTGGTGTAGACAGCCAATGATCCTGGATCCTGAGAACCTAAACCCTTAGAAGAGGGAAGCAGCTTTCCCTTAGCTCTTCCCTTATGCCTTTTTCAGCACCATGTATCCCTAACCCTAATCTCTGTTCCATGATGCCCAGACTCTTCGTGTTTACCAACCTGGCCAGGAGCCAACGGCAAGCAGATAGTCAGGTGTGGTGGGTGGAGAAAATGAAGGGAGGGAGTTGAATGAAGTTCCACATGTATGCCCCAGTTGCCCACCTTTTAAGGCACTTGGTTAAATAAACTGACTCATCAGGGAGGTAAGCCATCTTTTTGCTCCCCACAGTTCCATAAAACAATTCATATTCTTCATAAATGTGATATTTTAACTTGCTGATATTCACCTAAATTTATTCCAGTCTTGGGGGAGAGGAGAGTAGCAGACACCTACCAGGCTTCAAATATCTTTTTTTGTTTTTTTTCTTAGTAACTTGGTGTTTTTCCTCCCGTCATAGTTTCACTTCCCTTTCCCCCCTCCCCACTTCTAGAAGGCATCCAATGAGTACATGAAGGGTCAGCAGTCTCCTGTAGGCATCTGGCTTCAGTGTGGTGGGCAGAGGTGTTGAGTGACAAGGCTGGCTCACCCAGAGAGGAGAGAGCTGGGGAGGCTATAGAGACCCACATAATGGCCCCGCAAGGGGAAACACCTCCAGCTTGACCAGACTTTAGAGAGAATTGAAATGTCTACCAAAGAATGTATAACTCTTTTTATTCAGGTGGGATGTAAGTTTTCTATAACAAGACAAATTTCATGTGGGTAGGACTAAAAATCTGAAGTGGAGCCATTTATGTTTACAATGAGCTTGGTTAAGAAGATACGTGGGCAAAGTAGCAGTATAAAAGGCTCCAAAATTTGTCTAACACATTAGATATTCTGTCGTTTGTTAAACTGACTTACGAAATTGGTGTTGTTCCACCAATCAGAAATTAGCCCTGAACTGTCTGGAAAAAAGATTGGAAAGTACAGAGCTCTGGTTGCTAACATGAAACAGAGAGGCTTATGTAGAACCAACTGTCGTGTTGTATGTTTAAAAATCATCACAGATGCAAGCTGAGCATCCTAGAAGACTGATGAGACACAATCATCCCAAACTCAACTAATGCTTATCTGATGGCCTTGCAGAAGACCAAACCACCTAAGCAATATAGAGGGAAACAAGACTGAAGGTTATCTGGGATCTTAAAAGCTTGCAAGTTGGTCTCTATTCTCCTGGAACAGCAGAGGAAGGAGACCTAGGAGTCGAAGAAGGAAATGGACTGCATGTTTAACAGCCTCTGTAAACTACTACTTCATCACCATGAGACCAGAAGAAATGGCTGGTGCTCAGCTACCATTATTGAACATTTTGATCAAGCACCAACAGATGGATTCTGATCAAAAAAAGGAAAAGTATAGAACTTCAAACTCAAATGGAAACCAGGCTTACTGGATACATTGAAATGGGAGAACCCCAAATCTAATGCCCAGAAATAATCTTTAAACTTTGGATTAAAACTATCCCAATAAGCCATCATTAAACTAAACAACAGTTTAGCCCAATTAATAAAACATGTTTGCCTTGAGCATAGCGCTCTTATAATTATTTATATGAGCTTAATCTGACAACGGTTCATCTAAAGCACAGATGGGAACTTTAAGAGGCAGAGAGCGTAAATTAATGGTGATGAAACAATATGGGTAGAAACAGTGAGAATGGTGACACAGGGTGAAGTATGACCAATGTTATTGAACTTTTCATGTAGAAATTGTGAATGGATGTATGTTTGGTTGTGTATTTTGCCACCAAAATATAAAAAATATTTTTTAAAAAGAAGATGAATTAAGGCTATTGGATTATTTTGTTCTATGTCTCTGGCTCAAGTCTTCTGTCTTCTTGGGGGGATGGGAGGAGGATGTAAGAAGGGGGAAACTAAAGATAGACATTCACATATCTCGGTGCACTTGCTAAGCACTTGGAGCATGACTAATTGCTGCATAGAATGATGGAGAGGCCTTTGCCCTACCTTCGTGGGCAAGTGGAGGCAGCTATAGTCTAAAGCTCTAACAGAATGAGAAATAGCCACTTTTTAAAACGTACCAAATACCATCTTGCAGAGATGTTAATATATTAATATCTTAATGGTCTCTAATGGCATTGCAGAGGGCCCAGGGAGCTGAGGAACAGTCCTGCCTCAGGGACGTACTGAAGAGGCAGCTTTTCAAAGAACAGTCGTGTGGGTACATTGTGCCTCGGTCATTCACACACCAGTTAGTGGCAGGTAGTTCCCAGCAGGCAACCCTGAGTGGGGTGCTATGGCTTCCCAGGACACCATATGGCTGCAGTGGCATTGTTTCCAGAGATCTGAATCCAAAAACTGGAATGGCACAGAAATATCCTGGTTCACACTGAAGTTCTCCGGCAGTGCTATCCACAACACGTTAAGGGACCCTTCTCTGTCAAAAGAGCCAAGGACTAAATAGTGCTATGCTTGGATCCCATAGATGCAGGCTTGGAGGGCAGTGGGTGTGCACTGGCTCAGCTGATGGAATAGTGGTGGGAGCAGCTGAGCCACTGCTAGGATCCAAGTGGAACTTCAATGACCCCCTCAATGACGGTCCCAATAAGCGCCATCTGATGTCAATGTTTGACAACTGCTCATCCTCCTGGGTCTGAAAACCTCACATGTGCCACCACTGGCACATCCAGTGGTGGGTAGAAAAGTAAAAGGAAAGCTAGTGAAATGAGACATTTTGCTGATTGGTTATAGCAATGACCTTGGCTAGAGCAGATGTAAAAACTCATCCGAAATGAGGTTCCTGGAGTATTTATCGTCCTATTTTTCTGGTCTAGGCAAAGAGTTTCCAAACCTGGCTCTGCAACCACCACCTGGAGCATTTGTTTGAAATTCAGATTCCTGGACTCCAGCCCTAAAAACGCTTATCTGATAGATTGGGGTGGTGCCTGGGAATCTGTATTTCTAACAGGTACTGCAGGGGATACCAGCGTAAGGGACCCATAGAACAGTATTTAGGAATAATCACTCTAGCACACCCCTGTCTCCATATATTCTAGATCACTCAGAACTGGTTGTAGCTCAGATGAAGAGCCTGGGTCAATGCCAGTATGTTCCTGGTCTCCCATCCTGACATGATAACTATCGTGGGACATGGGCCTCTCAGCTCTGCCACCCAGTTAGCCCCACTACTGTCCTCTTAGTACACATACACTTCACACCAATTCATCTCAGCAATATTTATTGGTCTCCTACTCTAGGTAAGGCATAGTATGGTGCCAGGTGCTGTGGGGTACAAAGACAAGAAAGCTAGGTCTTGCCCCCACGGAGGTTAGTCTGGTGGGGAGAGAGACACTGTCACAGGTAACAAAAATGCAAGGCAGATAAGGTGAGTGCTGTAACAGCAGAAACAATGAAGGAGCAGAGAACAGGTGTTTAACACAGGAGTGGCGTTTCAGCAAGTCCCTGAAAAATGGGCAGGATTCACACAGGTGGGACTGGAGAGATAGAAAAACACTCTAGGCATGGGTAAAGGTGTAGAGGTGAGAAGGTGTAATGAATGTTCAGAAAACAGAGAGATGTCTGCCTTGACTGACATATAGGATGCTAAAGGGGTAATAGAGGGAGCTACAGCCAAAGCAGTGGTTTGGGGCTAGGTGTTAGAGGATCTCTGTATTGTAAGGAGAATTGACTTTATTCTGCAGGCAATAGTGAGCCATCGAAAGTTTCTGAGCAAGGAAGTGACATGACCTCATTTCTTCAATTCCATGCACACTGCTGTGCGTAATTTTGATTAGCTGGTTTTTTTTTGTTTTGTTTTGTTTTTTTTAACCTCACTCTTTGGACTCACACCCTCTCTTGGCCTCAAAGCAGAAGCCAACATGGGCTCTGTGGCCACATATACATTCCAGGACTACACGATGTAAGAAGCAGTAGCCTTAGGCTAGGTAAACCTGGAGCTCACTTCACAGCTTTGCACCGCCTGCACAGAACAGGAAGTGAGGAGGCCTTCTGGAACCATCTGTAAGGAACGGGGCACACGGAAGGTACTCAGTGAACTCTTGTTGCCTAAGCATGGCATGGATAGTCTGGGGAGAAAATGGAAGTGCAAACGAAAATGGTGGAGAGATGCCAGTGACACAGTCGATTCTCGTTATTACAGGCAGTTATATTCTATAAAGTTCTCTAGAACATTGAATTAGCTAATACGGAACCAGCCCTGGTCCACCTCAGCTAGGAATGTGCACCTAGGGTGACTCAAACTTTTCACAGCTCTGCACATATCTGAGAATGCCTGCAAAAGCTCAGTAAGTATTGGTTTTAGGGTTACAAATAAATCTTAGCGAGTAGGGGAATTCACAAATCTTCAACTAATGAAAATTGACTGTAATTAGCATCATCCAAACTAAACCATCTTCCAGGAGGACTTCTGGTATAACCCACGCGCCCCTCCCAGCTCACTTGTTGAGGACAGTCTGCAGTCTGACTCACTGGAATTCAGTAGATGGGGTTTCTAAGCCCTGTACACATACAAGGTTCTCCGCTGATGCCCTTCCCTAAGGTCCTGCCTAACTGTCCAATGAGGAAGGAGAATGGCGCCCACCTCCACCCGGGCCACCCCAGCCCGGGAAAGGATGTGAGGCCACTGCTGTCCAGGTGGACACAGCAATGCTGGTCAGAGAGGGCTCCCCCAGCACCTCCACGCCAGCCGAAGTGGGTGCTTGGGTGGAGAGCACCGAGGGGGGCGAAGTCACAGCTGGGTTGCCCAGGAGAAAGGTGCCCGGGGAGCTGGCGTGTACTTCCGGGCCCGGCCCTGCAGGGCCTCCGCCACTGTTGCTGATGGTCCACAGGCACTGGTACGGGCTGCAGAGACAAAAAAGAGAGAGGACAAGAGCCACTGCGGGCCCCTGACAAGCGCACAGTACTGAGAAGGACACAGATTTGTGAGCACGAGCTGACACAAATTGGCCCTATTTCTGCAGAAAATCCAAGAGAAGCAGTGAGGTGTAGTGGAATGAGTATTCCACTGAGACCTGGATTGGGTGCTGGCCCTGACACTAGCAAGCTGTTAGGTCTTAAACCCAGCATTTCCCTTTCCTGGGCCTCCCTTGCTTCATATGTAAAATGAGCAAGGGGTGAAAGAGGGAGGTAAGATCTACGAGGACCTCTCACTGGCTGATAGAGGCAGCATGGCTTACTAGCTAGGACATAGTGGGAGTCAGAAGACCTGGGTTTGACTCTACCACTACGAGTGTTTTGACCTTGTTGAAATTATTTAACATCTCTGAGCCTCAGTTTCCACATCTTCAAGATTTGGAGTGATAACTATACAGACCTTACAGGGGTTTTTATGAGGATTAAATGAGAAAAGGAATACGCAGGGCCGGGCGCTTGTCAGACATTCAGTAATGGTGGTAGTTATAATTAATTCTTCTATTCCATAAAGTGGAACGTGGTGTTGCTGGTTTTCCACCTGTCAGCTCTGGTCCATGGCAGGAAGGCATGGGAGTGGTACCACTTTCTTTGACTTCTCGTGTTCTATAGCACTGCTTCTCAAACTTGGCTGCACCTGACAATCACCTAGCGAGTTTTAAAAAATACTGATGCCCCTGAGATTTTTATTTCATTGATGTGGTATGCGTCCTGGGTATCAGGTTTCTTTAAAGCTCCCCAGCTGGTTGTAATTATGCAGCAAAGTTTGCATCTTACTAAAACTCTGATGAAAAGGACTGCAGTTGAAACAGGTAGAATAGTCTGTGGCATTGCAAGCCTTCAGGTGTCGCTGTGTTCTGACTTTTTAAGAGTTCCTGCATTGCTTGATGATGGTACTGATCACATTTGCTTTCCATCAACAATATTTTTGTGGAATCAGGAATGGGTTAACACACAAATAAGGAAACAGCAGTGCCACCCTGCACACTGTGCCATATGTCAGATGCTGTAGACCTCCTGGGACTCTTTGCAGCCTGCAGAAGCCCACCCCTTACCCTTGATCTGAGTCAGCTCAGCTTGCTGGGACTCTGACCTCAATCTCCAGAAGAGGCTCTTCTAGAAGATTCCTTAGAGCCCTTTTCTGATGCCGAGGAAAAACCATGGGTTCTGAGTCACACTACTTACTGTGTCGCTTTCAGAAAGCTTTTAATGCCTCTGAACTTACGTTTCTTCATCAGTCAAATAGGAATTTTAATACCTGTCATATAGATGTCTTTGAGTACTATGGACAACTTATATAAAGTATCTGGTACAGAACTTGGCACATGATTGTTTAATATCTTCAGGAACACTTCCTCTTCATTCTCTTTCCCATTTCCTACCACACCCCAAGTCAGTGATTTTTCCCTTAGATCCTCTAGATCAACACTGCCCCCAGAAACAAAATGTGAGGGAAGGCAAGGAGGGGCAGGGAAGCTAGATCAATGGAAACAGAGCCGACAAAATAGAGATAATGAAAATGCTGACACATTGTGAAAATTGTAACCAATGTCAGGGAACAATTTGTATAAAAATTGTCAAATGGGAACCTAATTTGCCATGTAAACATTCATCTAAAACACAATAAAATATTATTTTTAAAAAAAGAAATAAAAATGTGAGCCACAAATGCAAGCCATATATGCAATTTTAAATTTCCTAGTCGCCATATTAAAAGAAGTAAAGAGAAAAAAAAAGAATTTATTTTTAATATTTTATGTAACCCAAAACATTCAAAATATCATTTCAACATGCATTCAATATAAAAAATTATTAATAAGATTTGTATTTTTTTCATACTAAATCTTCAAATCCTGTGTGCATTTTACACTTACAGCATATCTGTTTGGACTCAGCACATTACAAATGCTCAGCAGCCACATGTGGCTAGTGGTTGCTGCATTGGACAGCACCGCTTTAGAACCCATGGGTCACAGCAACATCAGCAACCCCTTGGAGCTTGTTAGATGTGCAGGAGTTCAGGCCCTACCCCAGACATACTAATCAGATTTGTTTTTAATATCATCCCCACATAATTCCAGTGTACGCTGAAGTTAAAGAAGCACAGCTCTAGACCTAAGCCCTTTACATTCTCCTAACTTTTTCTTTTCCAGAAAATCAGCTGACTTCTCCCCAGGTTCTGTCTTTTCATTTTAATCCCTTTTTGACCTTCTCAAAATTCAACTTAATTCATGTTGAATGCAATATCTGGTATTTACAGAGAATGTTACTGCTCACAAAGCATTTTTGCGCATTTTTTGAGGCTCGCCATCATTCTACAGAGTAGCTCATATTATTTTGATGTTCGCTATGATTCTACAGAATAGCTCATATTATTTCCATTTTACCTCTAAGAAAGCTGAAGCTCAGTGAGATTAAGAAAATTGCCCATGTCGAAAAGAGGAGAGTGTTGACATGTCATGGGGTTGGTAACCAATGTCACAAAACAATATGTGTACTAATTGTTTAATGAGAAGTTAGTTTGTTCTGTAAACCTTCATCTAAAGTACAATAATATTTTCTGTTTTTTCGATTCATGCCATTAATGCCAGGGTGAGATGGTATCTTATGGTGGTTTTGATTTGCATTTCTCTAATGGCTAGTGATTGAGAGCATTTCCTCATGTGTCTGTTAGCCGCCTGAATGTCTTCTTTGGTGAAGTGTCTGTTCATTTCCTTTGCCTATTTTTGAACTGGATTATTTGTCTTTTTGTTATAGAGGTGTTGGACTTGCCTGTATATTTTAAAGATTAGACCTTTGTCAGATTTGTCATAGCCAAAAATTTTTTCCCAGTCTGTGTGTTCTCTTTTTACTCTCTTGGGGAAGTCTTTTGACGAGCATAAGTGTTTAATTTTTAGAAGATCCCAGTTATCTAGCTTATCTTCTGGAGTTTGTGTGTTGTTAGTTATTGTTTGTATCCTGTTAATGCCATGTATTAAGGCCTCTAGCATTGATCCTATTTTTTCTTCTGTGATCTTTACACTTCTTGGTTTTATACTTAGGTCTTTGATCCATTTTGAATTAGCTTTTGTGTTTGGTGGGCGGTATGGGTCCTGTTTCATTTTTTTGCAGATGGACATCCAGTTTGCCAGCGTCATTTGTTAAAAAGATTGTGTTTCCTCATTTGATGGACTTTGGGCCCTTGTCAAAGATCAGGTGACCGTAAGTGGATGCATTTACATCTGGGTTCTCAATTCTGTGCCATTGGTCAATGTGTCTGTTGTTGTACCAGTACCAGGCTGTTTTGACTACCATAGCTGTATAGTAGGTTCTGAGGTCAGGTACTGGGAGTACTCCTACTTTATTCTTCTTCTTCAATAATGCTTTACTTAGCCGGGGCCTCTTCCCTTTCCACATAAAGTTGACGATTAGTTTTTCCATCCCTTTAAAGAGTGTTTTGGTATTTGGATCAAGATTGCATTGTATTTATAGATTGCTTTGGGTAGAAGTGTCATTTTCACAATGTTGAGTCTACCTATCCATAAGTATGGTATGTCTTTCCATTTATGTAGATCTGTTTTCTTGCAGTAGTGTTTTGTAGTTTTCTTTGTATAGGTCTTTTACTTCCCTGGTTAGATTTATTCCTAAGTATTTTATTTTTGGGGGGGCTATTATAAATGGTGTTGTTTTCCTGATTTCCTTTTCATCATTCTCTTTATTGGTGTATAGGAATCCAACTGGTTTTTGTATGTTTATCTTATATCCTGCTACTCTGCTGAATCTTTCTATTAGTTCCAGTGGTTATCTCATGGAGTCTTTTGGGTTTTCTATGTATAGAATCATATCATCTGCAAATAGGGACAGTTTTACTTCTTCCTTACTAATTTGGATGCCTTTTATTTCTTTTTCTTGCCTTATTGCTCTAGCTAGGACTTCCATCACAATGTTAAATAGGAGTGGTGATAAAGGGCATTCTTGTCTTGTTCCTAAAACAAAACGAGACTAAAGGGGCACACCAGCCCAGGGGCAAGGACTAGAAGGCAGGAGGAGACAGAAAAGCTGGTAACAGGGATCCCAAGGTCGAGAAGGGAAGAGTATTGACATGTTGTGGGGTTGGTAACCAGTGTCACAAAACAATATGTGTAACTAGCTGAGAAGCTAGTTTGTTCTGTAAACCTTCATCTAAAGTACAATAATAAAAAAAAAATTTTTTAATAAATCAAGTACAATAATAAAAAAATTTTTAAAAAAAGAAGCATTACTGAGCAAAAGCAAAAACATGGTATCTGGAGACAGAGAAACTAGTTTGGAGTCACTTCCCCATATACAACATGCTCAGTAAATGTTAGCTGTTATTAATATTATGGAGCCCTGGTGGCATAGTGGTTAAGTGTTCAGCTGCTAACCAAAGGTTGGCTGTTCGAATCCACCAGCTGCTCCTTGGAAACCCTATGGGGAAGTTCTACTCTGTCCTATAGGGTTGCTATGAGTCAAAATTGACTTGACAGCTACAGGTTTGGTTTTGTATTAATATTATCATGATGAACCCCAGACTTTAAATGGGCTTAAGAAGACTACCTACCTCAAACACTTAGAGATATAGGCAAAGATTCACGTTCAAGGATGTTTATCCTAGCATCATTCGTTCATAATTATGAAAAGTTGGAGCCAATCTAGATGTCTAAAGATTGGGAATTGGTGTAATAAGTTATGGTGGGTCCATACAATGTAATGCCATGCATGTGTTAAAAATCAAATGTACATAAATACCTAATGACACAGGAAAATGTTCAGGATATAGTGTTAGTTTTGGAAGTTTGTTTGTTTTCCTTAAGCAGGTTGCCAACAGTACATTATTTGTATAAAAATTATTTGAAATATAACATATGTGTTATTGCACAATAATGTGTGCTAATGTATAAAAATAATATATGTTAAATGAAGGCTGAAAAGAAATACACTAAAAGTTTTCTCTTAATGTGATTATGAATGATTGTAATTTTATTGCTGGTGATATTCTGTATTTTCTGTATTCTCTGTAATTAGCACATATTCTTTTGTAATGAGAAAAAGTTTTTATTATTATGTTTTAAATTTCTACACACTCTAATTTCTCCAATACTCTTTCACTATTGTTTTAAGAGTGCAATATTCTCTCTTATCTTTCTGAATATATTAATCAGGTTTTGTTTGTAAAAAAAGAAAATTGCCCAAAGTCACAAAGTCAGTAAGAGGTAGAACTGGGACTCAAATCCATATCTGTCAGACTCCAAGGTCCTTTCTCTTTCTACTCCAGAAGTGAAAACTAAATACAGGTCTCTGGTATTATGTTCTACATGGTACACCTAGTCCTATTACCTGGGTTGTGAACCAGGTACCCACAATCCATCCCTTTATGAGACTATGGATGATCAAGGGTCTTGAATTATCCGTGTATATTTACATTTTCCCCCTTCAGTTCCTAACCCCATTCCCTATAGTCAGTATCTATCTGCTATCACCACAGTTAACAGAACTTCTAACTAGTTTGGAACAAGTGATCCCAGGCCATAGTGGTTTTTCCCTCTTAAAAAGCTACAAAAGAAAGAGAGTATGACTCAGCGGGTGCTTTCCCAGAAATGAACGGTCCATCCTGTTGTCATCTTCACTTCCTAACCAGTTGCCGTCGAGTCAATTCTGACTCATAGTGACCCCACGTGTCTTGGAAATCAAGACAACAGTTCAGACCAAGCCATTTTCTGGCCCCAGGAGAAAGAATGATCTGGAGTTCCCAGTGCTAAAGTAGACCCCCTGAGACCACAATGACCAAGTTGCTGGTGTTTGTCTTACCTGGGCCCTGGATTGATGGGTCCATTGGTGTGGGGTACAGACAGGATGCTGGCATGGGGTGTGGAGGATAAAGAAGTCCAGCTTTCAGGTCCCGAGAAAACTTGCAGATTATCGCTTGAGCTTTCTATCAAATTCACTTTAGGGAAATAACAACAGTTCAATTGATGGAGCATGTAGACCATATAAAGATGGTGACCACTGACATCCTAAGGGCAAAGTGTAATCATGATTTGTGCTACAGACACCAACATTTTGAAGGAAATAGAAAAAAGGGAGGAACTTACGTTTATTGAATGCCAACCATATGCCAGGTGCCTTTCGTATTTTAATCTTAACAACAACTTCTCATCTCCCTTTTAGAGATGAGGCACAGAGAGGTGAGACGATTTGCCTTTGTGACACAGCTCTAACTCATCTCACCACAGAGGAGTCCCTGGGTGGTGCAGATGGTTAAGCACTTGACTACTAGCTGAACCCAGCCAGAGGCGCCTGGGAGAACAGGCCTGGCGATCTGCTTGCAAAAGGCCACAGTCTTAAAAATCCTTCGGAACAGTTCTACTCTGCACACAGCGGGTCGCCATGATTTGGAATGGACTTCACAGCAACTAACAATACTTCCTTTTAAGAATGGACTGAATGTATCAATATTGGTTCATCAATTGTAACAAATGTACTGCACTAATGCAAGAAGTCAATAATAGGGAAAATGTATGGGTGTGGTGGTGGTGATTATTGGGAACTCCCTGTACTCTCTGCTCAATGTTTCTATAAGCCTAAAAATAAAGTTTATTTAAAAAAAAAACACTAAAAGAAAGAAAGAATGGACTGTATCAGCACACCCTCAGGCCCTGCCTAAGAGCCACTAGTGGCCCAGATGAGATTTCTGAGGTCCATATCCTTATTCTTCTTTCCAGTGACCTCCAAGCCGATTTCAAAATCTACTCAGAAAGAGTGGTGGCTGTGTCTTATAAGTCTTTGAATCTTCATTTGCATAAATAGAGTATATACAATAGAAAGAAGGGAGGAAGGAAGAGAGAAGGGGAATAAAAGAGGAAGGGGAGGAAGGGAGGAAGTCTCCAGTGTATATACCTGGCCATGTCACCTTTGGTGACGCATAGACTTTTCATGATCTGGCACTTGCAGCCTCTTCAACCTTAGCTCCTGCATCTTCCACCTCTCCTCTCCTTCCTCTACACCATTTCAAATCTGTTCCCAGACAACCCAGGTTCTTTTCACCTTCTTGGCTTTGCTTCCTCTTCGTAGCAAGCCCTTCACTGTTGCTCTGTGGTACCGCTGCCCACTTTCACCCCCACCCACTCCCACCTCTGTCCTTTTCAATTCATCCTTCAAGGCTCAGTTTCAATGTTAACCCCTCTGGGCAAACTTCGCTCCCCCACCCAGCAGACGTAGTTGCTCTTTTTCTTTCATTCCCATGGCACCTTGGCTTGTGTGTTTTAGAGTGTTTCTCAAACTTTAATATGCACATGAATCACCTGGGGATCTTGTTAAAATTCAGACTCTGATTCAGGAGGTCTGAAGTGGAGCCCTAGGAGTCTACACTTCTAACAAGCTCCAAGGTGATGCTGCAGGTCCAAGGACTGTGTTATAGCACTCACTGCATTATATTGTGATTATTTATTTCTGTTTCTTTCTAGCCCTGAGCTCTATCCTCCATTGCCTAGAAGAATGTTTGGTGCATAGCAGGTACTTTGTGTGCTGACCACAGGAAAGGACCAGGAAGTAGAGTGAGAACACTAATCAGATTTCAGTATCATTAAGCTACATGGTCTCACTCCTGAAAGCAGTTGTCAAGGTTGCTGGGAGTAGCAGGCTAAGGGGCACAAGGACAGTAGCTGGTGATGCAGGAAAGCCCTGCTGAAAATGCAGAGCCCAGGGAGTTGCTGAGGAAGGAAGGAGGCTGGAATCCTCACACCCTCCACCGTACATGCATGTATTTTACTTATTTTCTTTAGTGTCCAACTTTCCCGTATTAGGATATAATCTTCATGAGGGTAGAGTATTGGCCCATTTTGTTCATGGCTTTCCCTAGTACCTAAACCAAAGCCTGGCACACAGTTGGCCTTCAATAAATATTTGTTGCATAAATAATTGAGTGAAAATTTAATCCTTTTTTTTTTTTTTTCATTTCTCCCTTCCTTCATACAAATCTAATAACCAGGCAAATCTGAGCATACACAAGGCCAAGGCAGACAAGTCATCATCAATGAAAAGAAAGTACATAAACATCAGTGCCAACTTAAAAAATAATCAGACTGCAGAATCATTAAGGATGGCTTTGCATGCCTTCAACAGACTCACACTAGGACCAAGAGTGACCCAGCTCCCCAGAGACCTTCCTAATAGCGCTGCAGCACTGGACCAGCATTCCCTGGATGCGGCCGTGTAATGCAACTGGAGAAAAGTGCCGTGGTGAAGGCAATGAGCTGAGTACCTCCAACCCACAGGACTGACACTGGCTGTTAACAGGTGCAGCTGAAACTGCTCAGTACACCAGTTCCCTGAGACGAGGCTTTCACACCAGTAGAAGCCAAGAGACCAAGTGTTTTATGAAATTACAAAATGCTAATAGTGATACAACTAGATAATCAAATATTAAATATATAAAATAACAATACAATATTACTAATATTACAATAAAATAGCATACAAAAATAATACTATTCAATAATATTACATAGATATATTAGATGCATTAGGTGAAAAGTCTCATCTTCGGACACTTGTTTTTACTAGCTGTTTATGCATTTCTCTCCCCAAGCCCCAAGGGTTTAGTTAGCAGAATCTCAGACCTGTGGGAGAATGGTTTCTATGCACGTAGGCTGAAGGGTAGGGAGATTGCCAGCATCCCCGAAGGCCAGGATAATGCTCACAGCCATGGTGGGAGTGGGGAGCAGGCAGAGACAAGGGAGTTGCATACTGGTAATTGGTGTTTCCTGCTGTGCACACTCCATCCGGATTGGAAAAGATCCAGCCCCCCACTAGAAGAGACAAGAGAAAGACACAGAGTGTCTATGAATTGCTACACCAGTAGTCAGGGTCCCAGCTATTTTGTATGGCTATGTTTCTATGCAAATGAGACTGAATGGCTGACCATGTAGGGGGACCACCTGCTCCCCAACCCCTGCTGCCTCTTAGCAGGTAAGCTGGCTTTTCTGGAGATGCACAACAGGTCCTATCCCACTTTGGAGAGCCTCTGAAAGAACACTGTAATCATCAGCTATATAAAATACAATTTGAAAGCAGAATGGATTTGCAAAATTTAAGTTGCTTCTAACTTAATTAAAATGAAACAGTCTAGGAGGGAAGCATTAGACATACAGGTAACTTGATCTGCAAGGACTAGGGAAAGTTTAACGTGGTTTCCCAGAAAGAGTGAAGGCCTCCCTATTTCTGCCCAATAGGGAGTATCTTTAGACCTCACTTCAGGCAATGGGAGACATGATGCCTCCCTTGCCACGCCACAAAGCGAATTCTGATAACACAAAGAGAGATGGGGCTGGCCTAGCACACCTTGACAGCAAGCATTTTGCAGAGCATTGTGGAAGGCTGCAAAAAAGTTCGTAGAAATTAGTCAGTGAAGATTCCAAGCAGAAGGCTCCACGTCAAGTAAGTTCAGGGACAAAGACTGAAACTTAGTAATTAATCAGGCCTTGAAACAAAGAGGGTGTCATGGATTGAATTGTGTCCCCCAAAAATGTGTATCAACTTGGCTAGGCCATGATTCCCAGTATTGTGTGGTTGTCCACTATTTTGTGACCTGATATGATTTTCTTGTGTGTTGTAAATCCTACCTCTATGATGTTAATGGAGCCCTGATGGCATAGTGGTTAAGAGCTCAGCTGCTAACCAAAAGGTCAGCAATTCAAATCCACCAGCCACTCCTTGGAAACTCTATGGGGCAGTTCTACTCTGTCCAATAGGGTCTCTATGAGTATCTATGAGTCAGAATCAACTTGACTTGGTGTCTTAGTCATCTAGTGCTGCTCTAACAGAAATATCACAAGTGGATGGCTCTAACAAAGAGAAGTTTATTCTCTCACAGTCCAGTAGGCTACAAATCCAAATTCAGGGCGTCAGCTCCAAGGGAACACTTTCTCTGTCAGCTCTGAAGGAAGGTCCGTGTCATCAATCTTAGCTTGGTCTGGGAGCTTCTCTGCACAGGAACCTCAGGTCCAAAGGATGCACTCTTGCTCCCAGCACTGCTTTCTTGGTGGTATGAGGTTCCCATGTGTCTCTGCTCGCTTCTCTCTTTTATATCTCAAAACAGATTGGCTTAAGACACTATCTAATCTTGTAGACCTCATCAGTATAATTGCCACTAATCCATCTTATTAGATCATAGTGATTGAATTTACAACACATACAGATTACAAAATGGTACACAATTATACAATACTGGGAATCATGACCCAGCCAAGTTGACAGATATTTTTGGGGGACACAATTCAATCCATGACACTTGGCAATGGGTTTTTTTATGATGTTAATGAGGCAGAATTAGAGGCAGTTATGTTAAAGAGGCAGGACTCCATCTACAAGATTAGATTGGGTCTTAAGTCAATCTCTTTTGAGATATAAAAGAGAGAAGCGAGCAGAGAGGCATGGGGACCACATACCATCAAGAAAGTAGTGCCAGGAGAAGAGCACGTCCTGTGGACTCAGGGTCCCTGCTCTGAGAAGCTCCTCAACCTGGGAAGATTGATGACAAGGACCTTCCCCTAGAGCTAACAGAGAGAGAAAGCCTTCCCCTGGAACTGGCACCCTGAATTCGGAATTCTAGCTTCCTGGACTGTGAGAGAATAAATTTCTCTTTGTTAAAGCCATCCACTTGTGGCATTTCCGTTATAACAACACTAGATAACTAAGACAGAGGGTGTCCTCTCACCAACCAGATCTCAGCTGAGAGACCCAAAGATGGGGATCCAGACAAGACCAGTGCTCCTCCTTAAGAATGTTCATTAAGAAACCCAAGGTTGAGTAAAGACAGTGTTGACATGTAGTGGGGTTGTTAACCATTGTCATAGGGCAATATGTGTACTAACTGTTCAATGAGAAACTATTTTGTTCTGCAAACGTTCATCTGAAGTGAGACTAGCAGCACGACTGAAAGAACGTAATCGATGACAGTGAATTGTCCATGTAGAAATTTTTGAAATGGTGTATATTTGGCTATATATATTTTCACCAAAAAAAAAGGTCCTCCAAGGTCAAGAAGGGAGAGCGTTGACATGTCATGGGGTTGTTAACCAACGTCATAAAACAATATGTGTACTGACTGTTTAATGAGAAACTATTTGTTCTGTAAACCTTCACCTAAAGTACAATAAAAATAATTTTTTTTTGGAAAAAAAGAATGTTCATTAAGGATTATCACTGAGGCTTTAGTGAAGAGGAAATGGAGCTTGGTATTAGAATGCACCACCTTTGCTTAATATTTTTTATGTCTATATAAATAAATTGTATAGAGTTCCCGTTACAAAGTGTAGGATCAGTCATTCTCAAATCCTTCCATCATCTTCATTCTCCCATTGTTATATAGAGATGTGGCCCAAAGGTCCCTGCCAGACTAATAGAATCAAGATTCTGGTGTCCCGTGGGCAGAGCTGGGCAAATGGCCCCCCAGAACCAGGTTCCTGCCTACTTAATTTGCCACGTGTAACAGACACACTTCAAGGAGTGTGCTGACAAGACTGCAACACGTGAACTTTTAAAAGGAGTTCTTCTCATGTGGGCCTTCATCTACACAAAAAGGCTTTTCATTCAATGTCACTTTTTTAAAAAGTGCTTTTCTGAGAGCTGCTTCTCCTTATGTGACTATGCAGCTACTTCTGGGATGGAAGATGCAATAACGTTTAGGTGAAGGAGGAAGTGAAGAATTTCATAGCTGGAAAATTGCAAAGGAAGCTTAGCAAACCACTATAACCCAGGTTAAAGAGTGTCTCACATACCAGGCTTAACTTTTCCACTCTGGTGTCACCAACCTTGGCTTACTTTTGCAGCTTTAGAGGATTTCTTCCACCACGAGGCCTCCTCTACCATACTGGGATGTAGAGAAGGGGGACACCCAACGTTCCCTGTGGAATTCCAGGGGTATTACCCCAGCATCCCCTAGAGCCTTCCAGTCAACAAATGCAGACTCTCTTTACATGGAGCCTTCCTGAGGCATCACAACGGTGACCATCTCCAAAATTAGAAAATACTAACAGGAGACATCCAGAACAGAAAGGCAAGAATGGAGGGTGAAAGTACAGAGTGCACTTTGGAGAGCTCCTAGCCTCACTGACTTGATAACTAAACCAAACCAAACCAAACCTGTTGCCATCTATTCTGACTCACAGCAAACCTACAGGACAGAGCAGAATTGCTCCATAGGGTTGCAAGGCTGTAAATTTTTGCAGAAGCAGACTGCCATATCTTTCTCTCGTGGGAGGCTGGTGAGTTGAAACTGCCAAGCTTAACCACTGCGCCACCAGGGCTCCTTGACATGATAACTAGAGTTTGAAAAATTCATCATTTCCATTCTTACCTCCTGGCTAAATATTTTAGCCCCACCTAGGAATACTGGCTCTTTCTGAGAATTCTGGAAAGGGCAGAAATGCCCTGTTGGGTCTTTGTAGATTATTTGGAATAGAACTTATGAAGTCAAGACAGTCAGGAAGGCTGAGTGTGGCATGAGATCACCCCTAAAATAGTCCCACCCACCTCCCACCCAATTTTCACCCAACTCACAGTGAGAATAGGTCACATGCTTGCTCTCAGAGATAGCCTCTGGAACGTCTTTTAGGTGATTTCTGAAAGAGGAATGAAAGTGCATCATGGTTGTCCAGCTTGTTAGGAATCCAGCATAAAACATACTCAAAATTCTCTTTGGAGAGCAATACTTTTTTTGGAATAAGAAAAACAAACACCTTTTTTTCATAAAGCTACTCTCCTTCCCCTGAGACACTGTATCTACTTGTGCAATTGTGCTTTGAACCTAATCATATTTATAGTTGTTGTTGTCAGCTCCCATAGAGTTGGCCTTCAACTCATGGTAACCCCATGAACAACTGGATCAGACCATTGTGATCCACAGGGTTTTCACTGGCTGATTTTCAGAAGTAGATTGCCAGGTCTCTCTTCCTAGCCCATCTTAGTCTGGAAACTCTGCTGAAACCTATTCTTCATCATAGCAACACATAAGCCTCCACCGACGGATGAGTGGTGGCTACACGTGAGGTGCATTAGTCAAGAATTAAACCCATATCTCCTGCATGGAAGGTGAGGATTCTACAACTGAACCACCACTGTACCCACATATGTAAGTTACTCCTCTTTAATTTGATCTTACTGAATTGTGATCATTGTGATTCAAGCAATAATAATAATGGCTAACGTTTGCATAGAACTTCAGGGCACAATTGCATATTTGGTATGTTAGCCCAACCAACAACTCAATGAGGGCAATATTATCACATTTATTTTGCAGATTATGAAAGTAAACTGACTTATGCAAAATCAAACAGCCAGGAACTGGCAAAGTTAGGACTCAAAGTCAGGACCTTTTACTCAAAGCCCTAAATTTTTTTTATTATACTATATTACTAACATTTTGAATCTAGATGCTGTGATCTCACATCAGCTTTTCCTTTAGGCCCTCTGTTATCTGTAAAAGTTATAAGTACGTCTTCTATATCATCAAAGTTTATTCAAATATTGAACAGGACAGATCCCTGTGATGCATCATTATAAGCATGTGTCCGTTAATTCAAAGCCTTATTGAGCTTTTAAGATGAAAAGGAAAGACTAGATAGTTACAGGAGATATTGAAAAGATTTGAAACTCAGGCAATAAAATCTGAACACTTCAAGGCATTCATATTTATACTCTAGGACTTGTCAAAGAAAAGCCAATGATAAGCACCATTATTCTTTTATTTTTTCCTAGAACAGAAAGGAAAGATACAGAGATGGGGAGTGCCTGGCCTAAAGTTACAGCAGTAGAATCATCATTCAAGCCCCCAGCAGTCTCCAACTTCTCTCCTTCTCTGACCTGAGAGACAGGAACCTCCCACCATTAATTACCTCTTCTAGACCAAAGGTAGTTCTAAAAAAAACTTATTAAAACCAGTACCAGTTGCTGTCGAGTCAATTTCAACTCATTGTGACCCCATGAATGTCAGAGTAGAACTGTGCTTCTTAGCGTTTTCAATGACTGATTTTTCAGAAGTAGATTGCCAGACATTTCTTTCAAGGTGCCTCTAGGTGGACTTGAACCTCCAACCTTTTGGTTAGCAGCCAAGTGCGTTAACTGTTAACCATTTACACCACCCAGGGACTCAAAAAAAAAAAAAAAATACTACTCATCAATAATTAAGGGAATGGCAGAGTGGATTATTAGAAATCTAAATCCTTATTTTTTTAAAAAAAAGAAATATGGTTGTATAACTTTCAAGAGTCCATAGTAAAACAGGGCTAAGAAAGAATTGCCAGTTAGAGGTTCTCCTGGACTCCTACTAAGGAACAGATAAGTATGCTTTAGTGTGGATATAAATGTGCATTCCTGAAGTTGCCCTTCTAACTGGCTAAGCAAACTACTGCTATCAAAGGTAAAGCTAGTGATGTTGTCTAGTTCCTTTCAAGATGATCACAAAGTTCAAATTTGAACAAGGCAATTCATAAGATTTGACTGAAAAATTCATCATTTCCATTCTTACCTCCTGGCTAAATATTTTAGCCCCACCTAGGAATACTGGCTCTTTCTGGGAATTCTGGAAAGGGCAGAAATGTCCTGTTGGGTCTTCATAGATGATTTGGAATAGAACTTA